TCTGACTGAAACGGCGTGGTCATTGGGCAATCTGGAGAACTTGACAGGAGAGTCCTTAGACTGGCGTCCAGACGGGTTGATTCGCCTCAGAGCAATACATGTAAACTTGGCCAACTGAAGATCATTGTGTCCGTGCAGACCAAGACCAGTCCGAAGCATGGTCTCCATCTCACCAACCACAATCTCGGGGTTTGCAGTTGCCAGCATCCCCAAAACAATGATAGCACCTCGGCGCTGAGTTCGGGAGATCTCCCGTTTCTGGACACCATAAACTTGCCAAAGCTTGTTAATAACAACCTCGGGGATCATGCCGCCCTTCATCATTGTCGCCAACAGCTGCTCAAGCGACGTGAGCTCAGCGGGTGTCGCTCCAAAAGTCAAACTGATCATGTTTCGCGCAATGTAAATCGCCGAATCATTGGGACTGAACGAGTCAGGCGCCTCGAAGAAGAGTCGCTTGTAACACTCGATCAAGTGTGTCTGGACACCCTTTCCTTCATCACTGTTGCCCTTGGTCCAGATGAGTCGAAGCATACGTCGAATACCGACCTTGTTCTGCTCAATATTGTAGGCATCACCGACCTCAAAGAAGTCCATGGCTTCAATAACCTCGCTCTTGTTCCTTGACCCGAGGAGCTGGCAGATCGTGGTGGTGGCGTCGTGGATAACATCGATAAACTTGAGAGCCTCGTTGTAGTATCGCCGGGTGAGTGTCAGCTTCTCGATAGCTTCACTTGTGGCAGCTTCCTCCTGTGCTTTCTTGATAGCAGCAGCCTTCTCCTCTTCAGTCATCTGGGTAGGCTTCTGAGGAGAGCCAAGTTGTGTCGCCTCATCAAGAAGCTCGTTGTCCACAGTCGTGTTCGCCTGTTCGCCTCCAAAGCCAGGGACACCTGGGGGAGGCTTGAGAGCGTCTAATTCCTCCTGCACCATGTCCAAACGAGCCTGCCACTCCTTTCTTGACAGCTGTGCGCCGTGCATGACCGTGAAAGGATGTGTCTTGATAAGTGTCCCGAGAAGCTTGATCGCGTTACGTCGGACATTACTGCTCTTGTCTTCCAGACTTCTACATGCAAGTTCTGCAGCCTTTTGTCGTCGCTTGGGGAACTTTTGCGCAAGATCGCAAAGTCGCATGTACACTTGGAGAGTTCTGCACCGGCAGTAGGGGTTGATGTCGAGGAATCGCTCTTCCAGCACATCGAAAAAGGCGTTCAGTTGGGACTTGTGGTTCTCGCTGCGCTCATCTTGCTTGCTGAGGTAGCCAACCATGTTTCCACAGACCTCAATGAGAGCACATCGAAGAGTATATGACTGCTCTGGTTAGCCAACAACCTATGACATATCCATGAAAACCCACCTCGCTGTCCAATTGCTTCGCAAGCATTGTCATCTGCTTGATCACCAATCGTGGCGCCAACTCAGAAAGCTTAGCAATAAAGGAAGAGACAGACTTAGGTCCTCTAGTATCATTGGAGTTGAATTCTTTGTTACTGATTTCACGTAATACCTCGTCAGCGAGCTGAGGATAGTCGTAAGTTTCTGCTAGGATGTGTAGGAACTCGGCCATGGGTTCCGACAAGTGCTCGAAGTATGTCAAGTTCTGGATGATGTTGATTTGCGCCGCTTTCAGTTGTTAGCACTTCACTTGTCTGGGCACTTCGAGGTGCTTACCATATCCATGCCCATGATGCTTCACTGCAATGCAAAGGACTTTGAAGCAGTGCATTCGAATGGTTGTTGTCTTGACTCGTTGCTCGCTCTCCAAAACCATGTAAACTGGTCGGGTGAGGAGACCAATAAAGGTATCTCGTTCGCTTGTTGTGAGGAAGATCTTAGAGAGCTTGAGCTTGAGGACCTTGCACATAACTTCCAAAGCTCCTTGAAGTTGTGTAGCAGAATCCCAAGCCGCATCCTTATCCTTTGCAGCCCCTTTCTTTCCCTTGCCGCGTCCTCTAGCAGCCGGTGCCGTTGACGACTTCTCAGCGGCCTTGGTCTCAACAGCAGCGATCGTCCATTGCAGAAGAAAACCGTATATCTCGAGTAGTTTCTTGTGGTGGGGTACCGAGTCTTGCTCGTCGGGGGAGTCGATATCGGAGTGAACAGAGTCGGCCTCTGCACTCAAGCCGCTCATAACAAGGTCGAAGATCTTGCTTAGGGCGTGGGTGGGGAGATGTGCTGTGTATCTGGGATTTTCTAGCTCAGAATGTTGTCCCACAGTCGGAGTATCAGGTGAATGATGAAGGGATATGGGGGCTAACTTGAGGAGAAACTGCAGCGAGTCCATGTGGGAGGCGCGCATGATGGCATCTGGATTATCGGCGACTGCGTCGACGATAGGGTTCAGGACAGAGTTAACAACAGGGAGTGTAAGGCCTTCGGGATCATTTTCGCAGTCGAAGAGAGCACCGTCAGCTTCAGGCGTTGAAATGCTGGCTGGGTCTGACATGTAGTGCTTCAAGGCATCGTTGAGGTCAAAGTCGATGGTATCCATGGCGGGCGATTCGACAGTGTCGTCGCAAGGAGCGAGCGACAGCAGAGAAAAAATGAAGCGGTAACGTTAAAACCTAATAAAAGGGTATCACAGAATAATAGAGGACTAGGCGTGCCTTATGCGCCAATGTGTTGCGACAAGGTAATACCAGACCCGTTAAACCTGACCGTTTGGTGCTTGTTGACAAGGCAAGCTTAGTACTGAGTCGGTGGAGGGGATTTAGATTTGGCTGAGGGGACGTGAGCCAACCCCTGGGCAACGATTGTTTTTGTTTTGTTCAACGCGACCACTCAGAACCCTTCCCCTCCATGTCCCGCTAAGAAGACAGCGCGTTGAGCCTATCAAACCCCTGCAATCATTCGTCAAGGCTGGCTTTATTCTTTAAGCCCCTCCAACTTCAACTGCACTTGCAACCCGTGTATGCTCTGAAGGACCAATAACAAAGTCTTGTTCTTTTGCTTAAGTTTTTTTCTACTTGTGAGAGTTCGAAGCGGCTGAAGTGAGGTTACTTTTTACTGGGTAGATTTTCTGCATTACAAAGCGATCATGAGTGCTGCGGTTCATCAGCATGTCGAAGAGCACTTCGATATCCATGAGGATTTGAGGACGGAGGATACGGAGATGATGGTAGAGGAGGAGCGCACTGAAGAAGCAGCTCCGATAGATGAAGACGAACGCGTTCAGTCATTCCAGCAGGCGCATCAACAACAGCACATTCAGCAAATGCAACACCAGCAACAACACGCCCATCACCAACCGCAACAACCCCAAGAAGAGCCCCAGGAGGAAGAGGAAGAAGAGGAGGAGGAGTCCGAAGACGAAGCCGTTGACCGAACCGTTCAAGCAGACATGGACAAGTTACAGAATGACTTTCCTGGTTTTCGCAATCGGTATCGGTTGATCAAACGCATCGGTGAAGGTACCTCGCCGTTTCTCCCGTCCGCTTCCCATTGAGATTAACAAATGTTGCCAGGAACCTTCTCTACCGTCTACAAAGCCGAGGATATCATGTACGACCACTACGACAATAGTTGGGACTATGAAGACGATTCGTCAAAATGGACGCCACCGCCCAAAGCAACCGACAGCCCTGTGTCTCACCGTCCCCGTCGCAAGTCACGTTACGTCGCCATCAAGAAGATCTACGTCACCTCGAGTCCCTCACGAATTCTCAACGAGCTTGAACTACTCCACGATCTACGTCAATGTCCCTCCGTCTGTCCTCTCATCACCGCATTCCGCGAAACCGACCAGGTCGTGGCTATCCTGCCTTACTTTCGACACGGGGACTTCCGCACGTACTTTCGCGACTTGACTATTACAGAGATCTCTGTTTACCTTCGAGAACTCTTCACCGCCCTGAAAAGTGTTCATGATCACAAGATTCTCCACCGAGACATCAAGCCTACCAATTTCCTGTACGACCCAGGTACACAGCGCGGTGTCTTGGTTGATTTTGGTCTTGCTGAGAGGGAAGGGTCTGATGCCAAGCCTTGTCTTTGTCATGAGTCCCGAGAAGTCCGAAAGCATCGCCAAACAAACTCAGTCTGGGCGCAGAATGCTGCGACTCCTCAAGCAGGATATCCCAAGTCTGACACACGATCATCCCGGCGTGCCAATCGTGCTGGAACAAGAGGTTTCCGTGCTCCTGAGGTTCTCTTCAAGTGCACGGAGCAGACTACATCGATCGATATCTGGTCTGCTGGTGTTATCCTGCTTACCATTCTATCTAAGCGCTTCCCATTTTTCAATTCGGCCGACGATGTTGAAGCCATGATTGAGATAGCAACTATCTTTGGTACTAAACGCATGAAGGCTGCAGGTTTACTTCATGGCTGTGTCTTTGAGACCAGCATCCCCACCGTCGGTCAAGGAGGCTTCTCGATGGAGAAGATCATCATGTGGAGCACATGCAGAGGCGAGGAAAAACCTCTGACAGGAGAAGAAAAGTTGGCCATCAACTTCCTCGAATGGTGTATGGAGCTGGATCCTGGCAGGAGAATAACAGCTGCTGAAGCATTGAACCACGATTTTCTTCTCTTGGGAGACATTGAAGCCGAGAAGCGGGAGAACGAGCAAGCAATGGCGGGGCATTAAAACAATCATGTATCACTAATGTAATCATAGAAGCATGGAAAGGCGTCGGTTTGAGTATGGTGTTATGGAAGTGGTTGGCTAGATATCTGGTACAAAGCCCAACATGACTGATACCCAGTGCTGCGAACGTTTCACGGGAACAGATTCAAGGACATCAATGGCACGATCACAATGTATTAAAAAGTTTTTGTCATTCATAATCATGGGCGGAAATCGATTTTTATTTCGTTAACTCCTTGCAAGAGTCCCTGATGCAATGCCCGAAGCCGACCGACCTAGGTCCCTGCTCACAGGAGACCTGTAATCCATTTCCCGTTGTTCGCGGGTTGGAGATTCTTTTTTCCTTTTGCGAAAATTCCCATACAAGCCCAACCGACTCCTAAGCAAGCACAACATTTAGAGAACAGTTGCTTGCTTAAGCGACAAGCTCAACGACACCACCGGCCTGCTTGATCTTCTGCTCAGCAAGGCGGCTGACCCAGCGGGCGCGGACGACCAGAGGGATCTCGGGGAGACGGCCCTTGCCGAGAACCTTGGAGTAGCCGAGGGGGAGGAGGTCGAGGACGGGAACGGTATCCTTCTTCTCGCCGGAGACGTAGGCGTCACGGGTCTCCTGGGGGACGAGAGACCACAGCTTGTCGAGGTTGATGATGGGCTTCCAGAAGTGGTTGGGCTGCTTGTGGAAGTATCGCATACCAACCTTACCAAAGTAACCGGGATGGTACTGTCATGGAGTTAGCCAAAACCTCGTCCAATTCTGCGCTTCAATCGTCCTCTCTAACCTTGTCCATGTTGGTACGGTGGTGGTGCTGACCACCAGCAAGACCACGACCACCGGGGTGCTTGCGGTGCTTTCCGACACGTCCCTTACCGGCGGAAACGTGACCGCGGCTGAATTATAAGTCAGTCCATCTCAAGTTCGGTATAACATCGTTTTTGGTCTCGTCGGGTTCGAGAGCAGCCGCCGACAAAGGGCGATTATTGTGAGCTCCAGCGGTCTATCTCTGAATTTCCCTAGAGAAAACAGAAACGGACGCGGTCTCTCTCAACGACCAACCTCGTCGGCGGCGAGGGGGATGAGGACATACTGCTTGCGGGTCTTTGAAGTACGGGTAGGCATGGTGACGGCTGTGGTTGTCGACTTGTCCGAATGTTCACAGTCGAAACTTCGAAATGGAGGGTGATATCCTGTAAAGCTAGCAAGAGCCGAAAATCTAGACGAGGGCAGAGCAACCCTAAAGAAATGGCTGTGGGAAAGCGGGGCCGACTTGCGTTCTTTGCCGGTTTTAGCGGGTCAGGTGATCTCGTGGATTGACCGTGGTGAGACTCGGTGAGGACCCACCAATGATGGACTCAAGGGTAACTGATGCTTTTGAGACGCGACTGAAGCGCGGTGACTCTGGTACTCAATCAAATGAGAGCTGATGTTATTTGATCGAGATGGTGCAATCCGAAGAGGACAAAGTCACGCAAGATCTTGAAAAGCTGGACTTTCATCACCCGTATACACCTTATGATGTCCAAGAGCAGTTTATGAAGGCTGTTTACAATGTTTTGGAGACTGGTAATGGGCAAGTTGGCATATTGGAGAGCCCGACTGGTACAGTAAGTGCCCGCAAAGGCCAAGATAGATATTTCGATACTGTATTGATTGGCTTGGAGTCTCCAATTCGCTATCCTATCAGAGATTCTAACATCGAACAGGGGAAGTCACTTTCACTGATCTGCGCCTCATTAACATGGCTTCGCAATCACAAGTCCCATCAATTCGAAGCATCAATCCAAGAATCAGCAGAAGCTTATAAGGATGAACCATCATGGCTCGTTGAGCAGCTTCTCCGCCGCAAGCGCGAAGAGCTCGTCACCCGTTGGGAGGATCGAGAAAAGCGTCTTGAGAGCCTTCGTCTTAAGGAAAAGGCACAAGAAGAACGTGCCCGTAAGCGTCGGCGGGTTGAAGACTTCGTACCCAGTAGATCTCGCATAGAAGATGAAGATGCCGAGTGGTTGCTTGATGATCCTGATGATCGCGACGCTGGACCTCAGGATGCGCTGTCTGGCTTGAGTAAAGAGACAAGAGAAGTCCTTGCGAGTATTGGCTTGGGAGGAGCGAAGAGGCCCGAGGAGGAAGATGATCTTTTGGAGGAGCCAATCAAGGTGCGAATGTTTTCGATGCCCCGTAAAATACGAGTAGTAACATTGATAGATCTATTACACGTCAAGAACACATTCTCAACTTTCGCAATTCATCACCGAACTTCGCCGCCCCTCATTTCCACCTTCACTGCCAACGCCACTCGCCAAGAGCGAAGAGACGAAGACAGAAGCAGTAAAGCTTCTACCATTATCATCTCGGCAGAGATTATGCATCAATCCCACTGTTTCACGCCTTGGGTCCGTCCAGGCCATCAACGACCGGTGCTCAGAACTCCAACAGCCAAAGTCAGGACAGAAATGTCCCTTCGTACCCAAAGAAGATCTGCTCTCGCAGACACACCAATTCCGCGACTCAGCTTTGGCCACACTGCCAGATATTGAGGACCTTCATCAACTTGGCAAATCGCTTTCTGTCTGTCCATATTACGCATCGCGAACTGCCTTACCAGGCGCTGAGATCATCACACTTCCGTATCCTTTATTGTTGCAGAAGAGCGCCAGAGATGCGCTTGGCGTCAAGCTGGAGGGCAGTGTTGTTATTATTGATGAGGCGCATAATATCATGGATGCGGTGGCAAATGTGCATGCAGCTGAGACTAAGCTGAGTGATCTTCGAAGAGGGCGAGCCATGCTCGGTGTTTATGTGAAGAAGTTTGGCAAGAAACTCAAGGGCGTCAATCGAGTCAATGTTGGGAGAGTGGGAAGGGTCATTGATGGTCTTAGCGAGTGGATGGACAACGCACTCAAGTTCAAGGTCAATCTACCTATCCATCACTGGTGAAGTAACAGCTAACGTCTTTACAGCAAGAACATGGTATCGTGGATCCCAACGACTTAACCCGACCAAAAGGTATTGACCAGATCAACATGTTTGAGCTCATTCAGTACATCCAAGAGTCAAAGCTCGCCTTCAAGATCGAAAGTTACATATCCCATGTCGAGAGCGACGATACAAACCCTAAAACACCAAGATCGAGTTCACCAGTTCTTCATACCCTAGTGTCGTTCCTCATCGCCTTCACAAATCTCAGCTCTGAAGGTCGAATATTCTACCAAAAGATCAAGGGGCCAACCTCTGACATACAACTTTCTTACTTGCTCTTATCGCCAACCTACGCATTCTCATCTATCGCGTCTAGTGCGAGAGCAGTTGTGCTTGCAGGAGGTACCATGTCTCCGTTCGACGATTACAAGGACCACTTGTTCCCTTCACTGGAACCAGAAAAAATCACCACTCTGAGCTGTGGACATGTCATTCCTCCAGAGAACCTCTGTGTCTGGACGCTGGCCTCTACAAGACCTGGTGCGCCGCCTTTTGAGTTTAGCTTCCAGAAACGAGGCGACACAGAAATGATAACACAGCTGGGCCTTGCCATACTGAACCTCTGCTCCTTAGTCCCAGACGGTGTCGTTATCTTCTTTCCCAGCTATGGATATCTTGATGAAGTGGTAACTGTCTGGCAAAAGAGTCAAGGAAACGCACAGCCAGTCTGGGATCGATTGGCAGCACGAAAAGCACTCTTCAAAGAGTCGAGAGGCGCATCAAGCGACGAAGTTCTTCAAGAATATTCCGAAGCTATCCTCGGCGAAAAGAGCAACGGCAAAGGTGCCCTTCTTCTCAGCGTCGTCGGTGGTAAGATGTCAGAAGGCATTAACTTCTCCGACCGTCTCGGTCGATGTGTCATAGTAATCGGACTACCCTATCCCAACATCGCATCACCAGATTGGAAAGCAAAAATCGAGTACATCGAGACAACAACACAAAACAACCTCACAGCGCAAGGCGTAGCTAAAGAAGAAGCTATAAGTAAAGGCAAGCAGACAGCGAGAGACTTTTACGAAAACGCCTGTATGCGGGCAGTTAACCAGAGTATCGGCCGTGCGATCCGGCACCGGGGCGATTATGCGGCGATAGTTCTTGTGGATCGACGGTATGGCACCGAGCGAATCCGGGGCAAACTACCGGGGTGGATAAGAGGGGGTTTAGTCAAGGACAGTCACGAGAAGGGCCTCGGAGGTTTAATGGGCGCTGTCGGAGGGTTCTTCCGAGGAAAGAAAGGCAAAAGCCAGAATCATTAAAAAGCGATAACGGTAGGGCTGGATCTTCGTTACTTCCAAGTCTGGGCATAGCGAAAGCTTTCAGATCACGAGATAGACTTGAGCTTGTACAAAGATGGGAGCTTGTTTGTGGGTGGAGGTCGAGACCCTTCTTGGCGTGAGGATGGAGACGGCGAATAGAGGAGAAGAGGCAGATTAGGCTTTTCCGCCACAGAGACCGTGCTTCTGATGGAAGATCGATGGACGGCGTGTTAGAAGGATGCAGAACATGCGTCGAACATTCGATATCAGGTCGTGACAAGGTTCATGTCTAAAAACACCCAAGAGAGTACAGTAACTGTCTCACCTACAAAGCTACAACGAATAAACGTTCACCACAGTAATTAAATATATGCAGAATAAAGACATTACCTATGAAGGGTAGATACGGCAACATCAGGCATTTCCTGTCAAACACGCCTTAATAACACGCCTTGACTAAGTCGTCCGCGGTAAACCCTTCATGCGGCGACCTTTATCCCGCAGAATCGCGTTAGCAGTCACACTAACACCGACTGCCATTGGCGAATGAATGAATTCTCGTTGGTTGATAAAAAATACTAGCGACATCTGAGAAAAAAAAAGGCGGAACCGGGTCCGGGACCGGGGTGACCGATTTATTTGCCCGTTGACTCTTATAAGACTCATTCTCCTCACTCTACCCAAGACATTGGCAGGTGGATAGTTTATCATCTTGTTCTCTTCTTGCTTCTTCTTTTTGGAGTCTTGCAATGGCGACAAAAACAGAACAGGCTCCAGAGAGGAGCATGCCTCCTGATGATGATCACAGCGATGTCGAGAGTCTCAAGGCTGCGGCTCTTTTCCACAAAGCTTTGCGCATGGGAAGAGTTGAGGAGAAGGGTATCCAACCCATTCCCCTTGAAGAGCGCACCGTGACACGCTTTTACAACATTTTCACGGTCTGGGCGTCTATCAACTCTAATATCCTTGGGTAAGTTAATCGCTGCACCTTTTTACAAGCGTATACTAACAAGTGCAGTATAACTTTTGGCATGCTGGGACCATTGGTGTATGGCCTGAGCTTGAGAGACTCTGCGCTCATTATCCTCTTCTTCTGCCTCTTCTCAACTATCGGACCTGCTTATCTTGCTACGTTTGGTCCTAAAACGGGAATGAGACAGATGATTCAGGCGAGATATAGTTTTGGTCGATATCTCGTCTCTATTCCTGTTCTCCTCAATCTCGCCACCCTTACTGGTTTCATGGTCATCATCTTTGTCGTCGGCGGACAGTGTCTCTCCGCTGTATCAAGCGGCCACTTGAGCCCTGATGTCGGAATCGTCATTATTGGAATTTTGTCGCTGTTTATTTCGTTCTGTGGATTTAAGGTTCTGCATTACTACGAGACTTATGCTTTCATTCCCGCCATCATCGCCATCACCATTGCGACAGGATGTGGTGGCTCTGAGCTTTCCAAGCAGGCTCCTCCTGCGGCACCAGCGACTGCAGCAGCAGTTCTCAGCTTCGGAATGATTGTTGCGAGTTACATGATTCCTTGGGCAGCTATTGCCAGCGATCTTACGACATATTTCGATCCTAAGGTCCCTTCGTGGCGCGTGTTTGCGTACAGTTACCTCGGTCTCGTTACACCTACCGTTCTCCTCATGGTTCTTGGAGCTGCCATCGCTGGGGCTCTTCCAAATGTACCCGAGTGGTCAGAAGCATATGGCCAAACAGCAGTCGGAGGCGTTCTCGCAGCCATGCTTTCAAGCGCCGGTGGCTTTGGAAAGTTTGTGGTGGTTATCCTCTCGCTGACTCTGTTGGGTAACACTGGCGGTACAATGTACGCCATTACACTCAACTTCCAGACTCTTATTCCTGGTTTGATCAAGATTCCCCGCTACGCCTTTGCCATTGTCGTTACCGTAATCGTCATCCCCACGGCTATAAGAGCTCAGCGCGATTTCTTCGTCAACCTCGAGAACTTTGTCGCTCTTATCGGTTACTGGTCTGCATCTTTCATTGGAATTGTTTCAGTTGAGCATCTTGTGTTCCGAAAGGGTCGCTGGGAATCTTATGACCATGCGATCTGGAACGTTGCGTCTGAACTACCCCTTGGTATTGCGGCCATCGCTGCGGGTATCATTTGCTACGCGCTCGTTGTGCCCTGCATGGCGCAGGCTTGGTGGACTGGTCCAATTGCAAAGACGACTGGTGATATTGGCTTTGAGATTGCTTTTGTTATGAGTTCGCTGTTCTACATACCCTTCCGATGGTTGGAAAAGCGCATGTCGGGAAGGTAATTAGGGTAACAAATATGGCATCAACGCCGGATTGAGGATAATGAGTTGTATGCATAAATAGATGGATTAGAGAAAATGCCAGCATAATCGGAACTCCCCGATTGAAACATACTTAGATGGTGAAGACTCAAGTCCCTCTTCAACACCCTTATGCCTTTTTCCTTACAGTCATCATCATCCCATCCCTCGGTCTCCCGTCCAACCCCAGCTGCTGAAACGCCATATTCCCAAACACCAGATCAGCATTAGTATGATTAGTTTTTGGCTCTCTATTGGGCTTCAGTCCCGCACATTCAAATGTATACTTACCTATAGTCATGGCTACGACAATCTTGAGTATGTTCATTCCCATATTCTGGCCAGGGCAAGTCCTCCCATCTCCGCCAAATGCCCTAAAGTAATCACCGGGGATGGGCTTCTCTTGATTTAGCCATCTTTCCGGCCGGAAGGCTGTAGGGTCCGGGTAGATGTGTGCGTCGTAGTGGATGGTATGCGCGTTAGCTGTCACGATGAGGCCATGGGCAATAGGAAGGCGGCGGCCATCGTGAGTGGTGATTGTTGTTCCTGGAGGTGCTTGCTTTAGATCGGACCCGAGAGGGTAAAGTCTCAAGGATTCTTTGAGAACCGCTTCTGTGTAAGGGAGTCTTCGAAACATGTTTGGGTTGGCAAGAAGAGTGACCTGAGGAGAGGTTCCAAGTTGATCAATGTGTTCTTGGTGCAATTTTCCGACGACATCGGGGGCATTTGATAGGAGCATGAAAATAAACTAATGTAATAGAGTCAGACAAGTATGTTCTCAGAATTGGAGGGCCGGCCTACGCAGAGAGTGTTCGTCGACGTGGTGTGTCCTCCTAACAACATCGTTCTCAGACTACGGTGGAAGTTAGTTGGTACCAGCAGATGTCAGACAGCAAAACTTACTTGCTAAAGAGTATCTCTTCTTCGGAGGTAGAAAGCCGTGAACGGCCATGCACATCCCGCTTCCTTTCTTCCAGCACAGCTTGTGCATGCTCACGAACCAAAAGATCCATGATGCTTTTCGGGTTCTGCCTTGAAGGAATGACTCCTTCCTGAACAATCCGCTCAACACTCCCATTAACCTTTTCTCTCAGAGAGCCTTCAAGTCTGCGAACAATTCGGCGTCTTTTCCATCGTCGGGGGATCTGTACCAGTGGGCTATAGGCAATGAGGGGATCTGTCTCTCCTTGAGCAAGATTCACAAGGTCCCTCAGGTCCTCCAAGATTTTACTTCCCACTGTTTGAGAATACTGAGGCTCTCCAAGAGTGACTGCTGAGACTATACCGAATACCAGTTTGGCGACGAGCTCCTCCATGGAGAAGACGTCTCCTTCCACGGCTAATTCGTCCAGCTTCTCTTGGAATAGCAAACATTCGTCGACCATGACATTCGTCATTCCCAGGACATGACCCATCGAGAAAGCTGGACTCACAACAGTGGCCATCTTCCTCCAAGAAGCGCCGCTGGTTGCTGCCATTGTTCCCTCGCCAAACATCAGGTTCATGAATACCGCAGTAAAGGGATGTATAGGAAGAGGTTTCGGAAGTGATGAGTTATCCAGGAGTTTAGGATCAGTAATTACGACAATACCAGGGCTTATAGGCCAGAGATCAAGATAGAATATTTCTTTGAGGTTGTATAAGCGGACCATTTCTGTGTAGAAGAGCTGCGGGTGAGTGTTTGGAGGCATCAATGCTGTGACTTGGCTAAAGACTTTGATATGGCCGAACAGCCAGCTATGAGGAGGCCCTGGCTATAGAAAATTAGTTGATTCAAGCGCTTTAATGAATTGTGAGATGAGGTACCAAGTCTCGATAGAATCGGCGGTGGTTGTAGGCACGGTACAATACCACGATAATGAGACAGGCTGCCAGTGCACCAACCAGAATTGGGACTGGCATTCGTGAAGGGAGCTCCGTCGCGATGTTCATTGCATCCATCTCGATCACGTTCAGAAGAGAAAAGAAGCCTGTACGAGATAAAGAGCCTCATCTTGATGGTTCGCCATATCAGTCACGGATGCTTTTATACATGATTCCAAAGGACTTGGCTGAGATTGAGTTACCCAATTTAAATAGATTCGGGTTCCGGTGCCCCCAGCCGTAGAAGCCGAGTGTAATTCATCGGCTTCGACATGGCGTTCATACAAAAGGTACAAAGTGCAGTGCAACGGCGGAGCTGTTTCATGGTGTTGATCTGGCGGTCAGTCCGTAAGTGAAGATAATGAACGCCTTGTTAGCTGAGACATGACACAAAATCTCAGACATGGTTCAGCTATTGACATTTGCAAGATCAACAGGGTTTCAATGACTACGATGAATTAATCCGAGGCAATTTATTCCGATCTTCATCTCATGTCCATCGGTACAAGGCTCTTGAGATTTAATTGGTGTAGCCTTGGTATTACGCACTAATCCACCCATGACATCGTCCCTCTGCCTCAGATTCCCTGCCAAGACTTTTCACCTTCACTTCATCAAAGCGCCCAAAATGTCTGGATCTCTCTGGTCAATCCCTCTCCAAACCACAAACTTCAACATAGTCGTCGCTTTTCTCGGCGGCTTCATATCAATCTTCGGCCTCGTATCCTACCTCCTCAAAGAGAACTACTATCTCTCCGAAGCCCGTACGTCACCAACACCCTTGCATAAATATCTCTTGGCATACCTAAATCTAACGCGCATTTCCTTTTACAGTTATCTCTCTCTTGGTAGGCGTTGCATTTGGTCCTCATGGCGCAGACTTCATTCGTCCAAAGGACTACGCTGAGTGCGCTGAGTTTCCCGATTCGTGCAATGTTGACCTCAATGCTATAACGCTCAACTTTAGCCGTCTTGTTCTCGGTGTGCAGCTTGTCCTTGCAGGCGTGCAGTTGCCGAGCAAGTATCTGGTGAGAGAATGGAAGTCGCTTAGTTTATTGCTGGGGCCTGGTATGACCTGTATGTGGCTTGCTACGAGTCTGCTTGTATGGGCGCTTGCAGGGCAGCCGCCGTTTTTACATGCCCTTGCTATTGGGGCTTGTGTTACACCCACTGATCCAGTCTTGAGTGCTGTTATTGTAAAGGGGAAGTTTGCGGATCATAATATTCCCCAGGATCTTCAGTATCTCATCACTGCTGAGTCTGGTGCCAATGACGGACTCGGCTATCCGTTCCTCTTCTTGGCGCTCTATCTCATCAAGTTCACAGGTGCTGGAGCTACGTCTGGTGGAGCTGCTGATGCTATGGGGCTGTGGTTCGGTATGACCTGGGGTTATACCATCCTTCTCAGTGTAATCTACGGCGCTGTGGTGGGATGGATTGGCAAAGAGCTGCTTCACTTCGCTGAGAAGCACAATTACGTTGATCGCGAAAGCTTCCTCGTCTTCGCCATCGCTCTCGCACTCTTCGTCCTGGGAACATGCGGAATGGTCGGTACAGATGATGTTCTAGCATGCTTCATTGCCGGCAACACATTCACATGGGACGACTGGTTCCGCCTCGAGACAAAAGATGACTCTCTCCAACCTACAATTGACATGCTGCTCAACGTTACCATATTTCTCTGGTACGGAGCCTACATCCCATGGAAGGACTTCCGCGACAACTCTGTTGTTCCTCTTTGGCATCTTGTCATCCTGGGAATTTGTGTTCTTGTGCTGAGGCGCCTTCCGTGGGTGTTTGGTATGCACAAGTGGATTCATCAGATTGATGAGGTCAAACAGGCTGTTTTTGTTGGCTTCTTTGGACCAATTGGTGTTTCCGCGGTGTTCTATCTATTCATCAGCCTGGAGTTCATTGAGGACCATCTTAGTGTTGATGGCAAACCGAGGAGCGATGTCAAGAATCTTGGAGACCAGACACGCATCATTGTGTGGTTTCTCACAGTTTGCAGTATCGTAAGTGTAACCTCTCCAATCAATTGTTGTTTATTCTAAACAGCATCCAGGTCGTTCATGGCTTGAGTATACCGGTCGGAAAACTTGGCTTCCATGCACCTAGGACATTGAGCCGTGTTGTCAGCGAAAGTCTGAGCGATGCTCCAGTAGGCGGACGACGACGAAATATTCCCTTTATTGGGAGGTATCTCTTTGGACCAGATAAGAAAGACGCTCGTCCGGCTACTGGTCCAATTGTCATTACTGGTGTTCAAAGAATGCGCTCAGAGCTACCGGTTCATGCTGGCGATGAGACACCTCCGCTAAGACGAGAGATACAGTTCGCTGATGAGGTAAGATAAGATCGCATGTGAGTTTCCTTTATCTGTCATATAGATTCGCATCGGTATACGGTGTCATATAATATATAGCGGCATATCTCATTAAACGTATCCCTCTAGATAAGAAAATAAGGCGTTTGACATAAAAAGCGACAATCCTTCATCGTTTCAGTAGCCCTCTTACAGGTTATGTCCCCTCATATCTAAGCCAGGAGCATAGCAGCGCCAACAACAGCGCCGACGACTCCATAAGGTGCCATTGCAGCAGCAGCATTGGTCTCGTCAGGGTTGGAAGCATCGTTGGTAGCAGAAGCATCGTTGTTGTCGTCATTGCTTCCACTACCCCCATTACCACCGCTGGTACCAGTAGCAGTAGGCTCGTTGGAGTTCTGAGTTCGTGTACCTCCGACAATGGTAGTGGTCAACTGAGACGCATCTGTAGGTCGAGTCGCATCGACTGAGACGCCAGAGACAGCGGCTGAGGCAGCGGATGCGACATAGGTGGTAGATGAGAAACCACAGGTGTACATGAGATCATCGATATCTACACAATTAGCACAGCTCATATAATTTGTCAAAAGAACTTACCCTCGGTGTCATCACGGATATCATCGTCGTCGTCATCGTCATCCCGGTTGTTCTGAGCATTCTGGTGAATGCAACCGGCGCAGAGAGCAGCGACACGGCTGACGTTGAAAGAGTCGTTGGTGCAAACACACTGAGCCTCAAGGCGGTCTTCTTCACGATCACGGTCGCCGCGGAGGTCAGTGTCGCATGTCTTGGTGAGTTGAACGATGGGATCACAGACGGCGTCGCATTCTCGTGGGATATCGTCCCGGTCAAGACTAACGTCTGCGCGGGCGAGGTAGAGAAGGGGAGCAATAGCGAGGGCGATCGTTGAAGTGTACATCTTGAGTGATGGTGTGAGAAGAAGCTCTGTTGTTGGTGTTACTAGGTTTAAAGTGTGAAGGGGTAATTGGCGTTGCGAATGAAGCTGTTGATGATGAGAGAACGACGTGAAGGACAAACCAGGGCTTTATACATTCTCATCGGTCAACTCCAGTATCACAATACATTCTTTCTTTCTTGGCAACTCTTATTGCATGTCACTTCCCGACGATCCCCTTGGCCAGCCGAAAGCCTCACTTTAATGTCGATTGATCCTTGCCTACCTTACTTTCACCAAGCCACGGCAGTCGTAATGCCTGGGGGGTATGCCAAGCAATTAATCTGCCCACCAATTGATCGTCTGCACGACTCAGAAGCTGCTCGTAACTGGCTTCACGATAACTCTCGTCTCCGCTTCTACGGTCTTGGCGGAGCGTCATGATTAAAGCGTTGGGCTGCTATTCCCCACTGCCAAATTTCTTGCTTGACTCCAAGTCTGAGGAACTTGTTGTGCCAATGCTCTCGGCGAGCTTGTATTGACCTCGCAGCAGTTTGCGGACAAATTACAGGTATTGGGATTCCGTACTAGAGGCATTTGAACTGATTATGCTTATATTTCTCCGACGTGCGATATAAGCTTAAACTTTTGGCCCTGCGTCATAAGTGACATACAACCAGGGTCGGCAGTTAACAAAGAAATTTGAGACAGCAAAAAGATCAACAGACGCACGATGATCAGTGGCTGTTCCCCCCAGGCCACGCAATACCCCCTCCACTACCCCAGCTCCCACAATTTATGCTTGATTCTGCTGTCGCGTGAGGTCTTTCCTCTCTGAGAAGCATTGATCGTTTGTGATTCGTCTACAAAGGCTTACACCGGTGGATTCACATTGGTTGAAAGTGAACTCAGCTGCCAAGACGATATCACAGCCTCGCTAGCCACGCGTTTCCATTGTTCTTTAATAGCAGACTTTGTCTTGGCGACTGATCTGTTTGAGCCCTATCGTGTTTGATCCTCGTTCAACGTGGTGATCTCGGGGGGTTTCGTTTGGTTATGAGAATACACTGACTGCGTAACTTGGGAACACAGACGTCTTGGCGGCGTTTTTGGGAAGGTCGTCGTGATGTGGCTCAGTATGTTGCGAAGACGACGCAGAGATGTTTGTCACGTTAAATTCTGTATCACCAAGACTATTGGTTACCATGCTATGGCAGGCTGAGCAAGCTCAGATCGCTCTGAGACGTGGTGATGAGGCGCAAGGCAGAGAAGGGAAATGTCGGAATAGAGGAAATCCTCGGGCTCAGAAGATGGGCCCGGATCTGCTTCTTGTGCTACCTTGATGATTATCACTAGGCATGAATCAGAATGCTGATCGATATCCGTTTATTCACTATCATGTTGTCGTCAATTTAGCGGAAGGATGTTTGTATGGAGACATGAGAAGAAGAATCGGGATGAAACGTTGAGATATCGCACTTCTTTCCGTCTCTCTCCTCCTCCAAACGACTTGCACACAGATGTCCCGTTTCAACGCTGACCAGGTGATCTGCACATCAATGGATAAAAACACTCAAACATCTGAATGGCGGCTCACTGCACATCATGTTAGCTTCTCGATGCCCCAATCTCACAGCAACTCACATTTGTCAATCTCGCGCCCATCAACACGTCCATTCTCCAACGTCGTCACATCTCATGAGAGCATGAACTCAAGCAACAGTCTTATCCAGCTCGGCCAAGACAATAGGCGTGTCCGATTCAAACCTCTCAAGCAGAATCGTGGTCATCTCTCCAGTCCTAACATACCCCAACTTCTCATACCACTTAATAAGGCTCTTTCTCGTATGCAGCGCATTCAACCCGATCTTGCCAACACCAAAATCCTTCGTGAGATACTCTTCTCCATATGCAACAAGCTTTCTGCCCAGGCCTCCCCGCTGCAGTGTCGGGTCGACGGCCAAGAGACACAAACGGCCGTAATCAGGGGCCTTTCTCATAACGTTGACGCACCCGATTATAGGACCGCTAGGGGTGTCGCTGGCGACCAGGAATTTACTGTCATTCGAAGTAATCCTGTCGGTAATGACGGATATGTCGATAGTGAATGTTTCAGCTAATTCGGGAGATCCGACCCAGTCGATGTGAGCGTCTGTAAAGCGGAACGCTGCTTCGATGAGCTGTTGAAGACGAGGGGCATCATCCTCAGTGGCGACGCGAAAGTGTAAGTCAGACATTGTTCTAGGTGATGGTTTCTTGATTAGTGCTGAAAGGATAGTGTCAATTTGTTGTAGTTCATTCGGTCGTATGCGTGACTCCTTAAATACCTCATGTTCCTATGGGAATCACCAAGTCTTCAATCTTCAAATAGGAAGGTCGTCCAAGGGCGTCAGCTTGACGCGAAGGAAGCGAAAAACATGTCATATTAAATGGTTCCCAGTGCCGTTTAAGCGGTCTGTTGTAACCTGAACTGATCACTGACGGATAGTAAGGGCGAGCCTTTCAATGGACAGCCCTACAGGTGGAGGGCGCAGGCAGTGGTGACATTCGGAGATAGGACAGCAGACCAATGGGAGAATTTGTACAATTGCCTCAATTACTATCTTTGCTCCAATCGGTCTTTTGTCTTATTTCCATCTTCCTTTATGTACTACATTATTGGCAAGAAATGCTGCACCAGATATGAGGTGCTCTCGATCTGACCTGCGGTGAAGCTGCTTACCCGAGACCTGTATCCTTGAGATCAGTGAAAGACACTTTCTCTGCCACAGGAGCTATTTGCTTCCTGACTATATTGTTTTCTATGAAAAGCCACTTGCATAAGATCCCTCGTTTCAAAATACTCAAGGTTGTTGTGCCTGTATTCTCCTTGATCAGCAGAGTGGTATAGTTTTGATTTGGTTGTTGAAAGATTTTATGTAATTTTCTCCCCCGGAACAAGCTTCACTCCATATGAAGAAACCATTGATGTGATCAACCCGATGATATTTGAAATCGCCGTTAACTTGTTTGGAAGTATCTGCCTTCCCACTCTCTTTGGTGTGTTTTTGTGTCAGGCTTTCGGGCCCATGGGAAGTCCCGACAGCTTCACAATATGGCTTCGGTGGAAACGTGCCCTGTAGCGAACGTGGAGAATGGTCGCCCTTAGATTCCCACTCCAGGACTGATCAACCCCAGGTGAGATCAATTGGAATTTCTGCTCATACTAAGTTGAACATGTACGAGAAAACCCGTTTGTCATTGTGAGGAGCGTCCTATACAAACAAAAGCACATCAATTCAATGGCTTCAACCCTCACTTGGAGCCGCTGCCCACTTCAAATGCTCAATTGCAACCAACAAACACCAATGAGTCAGGCCCAAATTACACAGCCCAAACTTCATGCAATTGAACTTTTGATGCATCGCAATTGTCCTATCGCTGAAGAGCAAAAACGGCGATCCCGATAACCCATCTCACACCGTTCGGGTCCACGGGCCCATGGCCATAAGCGCCCGCTGCAAGGAATGCTTTAGCGCAAGTGCCCCCAAAATCCAAGCACACTGTACGCCCGACCTCGAGCAATATAAAACACCATCCCTCGTCCTCACTCTACTTCTCTTTCTTCATCAACACCAACGGACTCTCCCACCGTCCGCTCCTCCTCCTTCCCCTCTTTAGCCTAATCGGCCTCTCTGCACCTACAGGGGAGGCCAAGCCCCCTCTAACTTGAATCAATGGCAGTCACAGCAGCATCAGGAGCAAAGTGCGTCCGACAACTCGTCATGTCATGGTAGTCTCATCAGTGCCCTGGCGCCAGATTCTGATTTTGGTCTCTTGTGCGACGTTTCTCCTTTCTTGGATTTTCCCCTTCTCGACTTCGACCTCAGCTCCCAAGGTGTCTACCAGGGAAACGATACGACATGGAATTTTGGTCAGAACATGGGAGAGGGATTGTTTGATCAGATTACGATTCCTGACATGAACACTCTGGATACGAATACTCAACTCGATGTGGGAGATGGCTTCCTAGCTCAGGAGCAGCCTCTCATCACTGTCAACTCTTCACCACTCGAGCAACCTTCAACATCAAGCACTCCCCACCCTCCCACTACTACCACCACCAACAAATCTCCCTCTTCATCTATCCCAGGAACATCCACCTTCTCCCTCCACCCATCTCCCTCCTCTTCATCAGGCTCCTCCCGGAAGCGTAAATCGTCACCGGAAGACGAAGAGTCAGCTGTCACCCTCAAGCGTCAACGTAACACCCTCGCAGCTCGTAAGTACCGCCAAAAGCGACTAGATCGCATCTCGGAGCTTGAGGAGGCACTGGCTGCTATGACAAATGAGAGAGATGACATGAGACTCCAACTTGCCAGGAGAGAAGCTGAGGTGGATGCCTTAAGAGAAATGATGGGGAAAAAGTGATGGGAAACAATATCGGAAACAGGATGAGATGAGCAGGAAAGGAAACACAACACAAGAGTTCAGCATCATTGCTTGGTTCCGGGGCTTTGGAAAGACTTCTAGATATGTTACTTGTTAGCGAGGCGCATTTCGAATTATAATGTTTTTTTGTTCAATCATTGAATGATAATTTCTGTCATGTGGTTTATATCATGAGATAATGATGCTCTTTTAGCAGGTGATGAGATCGCGATTGTTGATGGACTTCAGGGCTCTTGACATGTAGAGAACTCAAATAATCTCGTGTCAGTTTGCATTCATCTCTGTCAATTTGTATCACCACTTACATCAATTGCTTCGTTATGTCAAGTCATTTCAGGCAATTTATACATGCTTACTTGAGGCCGCAAACCTCCGTAGCATCCGAACAACCCTGGCGTAGGACTCAAAATCAGTCTATGTATATAGAATTCCCATTCCATTATCTTCCTTTCCATGGAATGAGTAACTATGAATCACCGACAAGTTGACAAGTTGTGATAGAAGGACAGTGCATCACGAACACAAGAGCACTGTAAGGACCCCGGACCAACGAGCGGGAGGTGGGGTGAATGCGAGGTCCTTTGTACGATAGAGGATGAGCCAGAATGAGTCATTTCGAAGATTTCCCTTTTAGGAAAGAGAATATTCCCGCCCTGATCTGATCTAATCTGATTGGCTGGATCTTATCCTGTTCAACACGGGGTATCCTGATATCGAGAGATTCTTGGGTTCGAATCCTAAGACTGTCAATTGTCTTTTGCTAACCAGTATTTATTTTACGTGGAGATATGCTGGGTCTCGCAGTTGACCCAATTGCTCAACTACTGGGGAGTTGCGTGTAAGATTGCGTTCACAAGTCTTGAGCTACAATGGCTAGAAATCTTACGAGTAACTGCCCTCTGTCCATGATAGACCAGTAACTGAACACATTACTCATCACTCCAGTTCCACGTTCCTCTTCTTTTACCTAACCTTTATTTTGTTGTCTGAGAACTACAATTATGCCTTGCTTCTCGCCGCCACAACGCCAGTCTGAGAATCATGAATCTCGATCTGAGCCGTATCTAGCACAACATCCGGTATGGTGTAGTGGCTAACATTTCGCGCTCTCATAACCTGAGAGATCAGTACCGCGGAGCCCAGGGTTCGATTCCCTGTACCGGAGGATGCTCACATTTTTTGCTGTTATTTACGATGGCTCGGTCGGCGAAACATCATGCGACTGGCAGCATGGATGATGGCTATGAGGACGATAAGGTAGGCCGGCCTCCCCAACCAAGCTGGCTGGATACGCGGATAATCGATACTGCAGGATGGCTATTGGGACATTGTACACACAGGGGCCGGGCCGTGCAAAACACTCTTAGGAAGCAGTCTCGTGGATGATCAAGGACAACGAAATGCTTGCCAATTTTACATCCCACGGATCTGCTTACCCATCTGCCTGCGCCTTGATTGTCATGGCGAAATGTCCTTGGTTGTCTCTCTCGACGTTGACTGACCAAGTTTGACAAGAGTCTCCAATAACAGAGTAGACTCTTCTCGCCCGCCTTCTCTCCCTGCCCAAATTGTTGGTGGCACACACGGATATTCCATTGACATCCGTCGTTTCCGAGCCCGAGACTACAACGATGACATCAACCGAGATCATGTCCTCATGTACAATATCTTCCTGCTCGGCACCTTCTCGTGATCAAGTGTGGGTTCGACCGTATCAAAAGTCCTCCAAATATCTTGGCACATCCTTCAATCCCTGACTCGACAAGAACATTACCGAAAACTCACTCTTTACAGCCGAGTGTTACTCGAGACCTACCTTCGCTGCCCTTTTGCGTCTGCTTGTCTCACATTGCCGGAGTAGAGAAGTTCACGGCCGTGATAGACCAAAAAAGGAGAACAGACCGCTTTCGCTCTTGAACGAATACGCTAGAATGAAACGCCACAACCTGTCACCTTGCTCACCTCCGTGTTATGACGGTTCGACAACATCACTGGATGACAGGTACGCCTACCACCCTTCTCCAGACTGATCAACATCACCAGCCACAAGTTCCCTCACTGCAACACCAGCATTGCCCAACCTTTCGCCACAACGTCTCCTCCGCAGTGGAGAGAACACGGCTCGTCACGCGTCCGGCCGGAAGGTCTTTGACCTCACCTCACCGGCCCGTCCCATTCGTCGGTGCTGATACGAGGCCGGGCTTAAGACATGCGCCAGGCAACAAGGTCATCCGAAGAGTAGCAAGGCCTACCATTGGGTTTTGTCATGAGAGTGTCAGCAAACGAGGCTCTGGGCGCTGTGCTAGCCGTAGAGCGCATGACTGGTGTTATCGCAGACCTTGGAAGAGCCCGCGAGGCGCTCTAGAACACCGGAGTTGATGACAGAAGAATGCTTTGTCGTGATTGCATACGATTGGTGTCATATCATGCATTGAAGGCCAATATGGTGTTCATGAGCAACACCAGATGATAGAGTGAAGCATGGTTGTAGCGATCCGGTTCCTTCGGGTCCTACTGTAACCATCAACATTACCAGGAAGTTGTGTTGCAAACGATGATATCTTGCAGGAACTAGATGTAGTGGCCGTTGCGATCGTCCTCAGGGTCTCTGCAGCAGGGAATATAGACAGGACCCTTGACGCAGGCGGGGAAATGTCACAATGCCGGAGACTTTTGACCGGACTGTGTACTCCTGTTGCCAAGTCCAGAAGGATTCAAAACAATTCAGGCTTGGCGATACAGATGCAACGCGTCCAAGGGGGCGATAAACACCAAAGAGTCGTGATCATGGTGGGGGAGCAAGACTGATGACGCCGCCGGGGTTAGTCGGATGATGTGGGGCAGGGATCATGAGGCTTCTCAAGATGCTAGGTACTAAGCTGCCCATGTCAAGGAAGAGTCGATCTCATCGAATCTGAGGGTGTGATGACCAGGAATCTTCTTGTCTAAGTGGGAGTGGTTGGACGATCGAGAAAGCGAGCGCACGGGGACGGGTGGTGTATATTGAGTGGGTGTCATTCTGCTTAGCGCAACACCTGCCGAGCGCTTATTCCGGATCATGAATGAAAGGCTGCGAGAAGTGGACGTCTCGTGGTGTTGGTGTTTGGCGGTGACTCAGGGAGAGACAAAGTCAGACAGACAAGGTGAACCCAGCTTTGCGGAGAGAGGGGCGGGAACAAGCAGCGTACATTAGAACATTCGACAGGGACGCCACTTATGCGATGTGAAAGGCTGAAGGTGCCAAATCTGGGGACGCCAGCCAAGCCACCAGACAGCCAATATTCTTTCAGATGCAACAGCCAATACATTTGTCCAAGGCTGTCGTATATGATGGACTTAACCAACAACACAGAGGCTGTGAGTCTGAGGATCGAAGAAGAGGCAAATTTCCATATCGTAACCCCGGTCTAAAACAACAGTACTTCTCGGCAGTTGATAACCACGAGAGACAAACATACGGGGTGTTTCGCGAAACCAAAAACATCGATAGGATAAAAGATGGGTGTAGGGGAAATGTGAGAGGAACGAATCAAGAAAGGCGTTGTGATGGGGATGCTACAGGATGTAAGAAAACTTGAGACCTCGATCATAAGTGACAGAAATACTGGGACAAGTTTCGGATAATGAGGATAAATTTGGAAGACTTTTTGGCCAGTTATTTCAGCACCCTCACTGAAGGTTGATTGTATTTGTCCACTCTTTGGAGAGGGTTTTGATTGTGGTGGTGTTGATGATCACCCGCCTGAGACAACCAAGGCTGATCTGATGGCTTGACCAAGGACATCTCGCCCGGTCGTGGCGCAGTAGAAAGTAGTCTCAAAAGTTGGAGAAGGTTGCTCTCCTTTTCTGATCAATAATCGGGTACAGGTTCCTTGATTATAGAGGTCCAGAAACTGATCCCAAGACAGACGAAGCTCAAGCTTACTGGTTAAGATCTGCAAGGCCGAAACTCAAAGAATCCAATACAAGGCTGTTCCCATGCACAATCACCTGCGAACGCCTGCGAAACATAAACATCCAGAGACGAATCATCTAGATTCAGCACTGTACAATCAGAGCTGAAGAGGCAACAAGGATGTGTGATGCGATGAGGCAGTCAATTGGTCTGTGTGAATGCGGCTGCCACTGAAGGGTATGTACGCTGGGCAGACATAGCCAGCCATCCTGACCTGCGGAAGCTACCCGTACGATGCATCTGCAGACTAGTGATAGATACCAAGGCCTACAGCAGGGAAGCGCCATACATAGTTACCGGAGAGGATGCGCGGAGACAGCGGCATCGCGGGATATTTGAACATAGTGGAGATGGACAAGGCTCGGGATGGAACGAAACGAGCCGGAGGATGAGAAGACAGAAAGAAAGCAAGAAAGAAAGGTGCGGCTGTATCAGGGAGGTGTGGATAGACCGGAGATAGCACACGCGCTGAGTCGGTAATGAGAGGTCATGTGGGAAAAGTGGTGATGATAAACAACGACACTCCAAGCCTCGCTAGATCCGGCTTTGCCCGGGCGATGACGATAAGTGTATCATTCTTTCAGAATAGCCTGAATGGCACTGAGACAAGCATAGAACAGAGAATCTCGGTTATGCGCGTTGTATCGTAAACAACGTCAGGCCTCGTCGTGAATGTCTGATGATTGATATAAATGGAGTTTTGAAGTTGAGGGGCCTAGTTACAAGCCAACCTGCACGGCTATTTCTGGATCAGAGACCCACCGACTCGACGCTCGGACCCGTCATCTACCCCTCCTTACAAGACATCCGCTGTAAGTGCACTAGCCTGGGCTTTTGTCAGGGGGTCAAAGCCGCCGGAAACACTTGATTGAGTTCCACCAGAACGGCGCCTCCAAGATCACGTCTTCCCGATATGTCGTGGGCTGGGCTGGACACTGCAGGAAATGCATACATGCAGATGTGACTGTGTAACTCGATATTATCCAACTTGATATCTTGTTGCATTTTGTCCTACCCCAGGGAC